TGAGAGAAAGTATTCCCCCATAGAGAAGTTATGTTTAGCGTTGTACTTTTCTTGTACCAAGCTACGCTACTACCTGGTCCCTGTCCAGGTACAACTCATTTGCCAAACAGAATTGATTAAATACATGCTATCTCGGCCAATTATTCATGGACGAATTGGCAAATGGACCTTGGCTCTGTCTGAATTTAATCTAGAGTATGTACCCCAACGAGCCATAAAAGGGCAAGCATTGGCGGACTTCTTGGCAGATCATCCCTGCATTGAGGTGCCAGTCGATCCCGTAGAAGTCTGCGAGGTTGGTATAACGCCATGGATCCTATATTTTGATGGATCAAAAACTCGTGGCGGTGCTGGAGCTGGCGTGATGTTGAAAGCACCATCAGGCCGAGCCATGCATTTTGCTTTCTCGTTGGATTTTCCTTGCACCAACAACCAGGCCGAATACGAAGTTTGGTGGTCGGGCTGGAAATGCTCATCGAGCTTGGAGTCCGCCACGCTGATGTTAAGGGAGATTCACAGTTGGTGGTTCATCAGGTCCACGGGGATTTTCGCTGTATCAACAGCGTTCTAGAAACATACCTGGACCACGTATTGTCGTTGACAACCCACTTCGACAGTATGGCGATCAACTTTGTTCCTCGTATGGACAACAACGAAGCTAACTATCTTGCACAAATGGCTTCGGGATTTAAAGAGTTTGCGAAAAGCAATGTCGTAGAACAAATAGTGGTGCAAACACTTAAGCCCTTGCGGGAGCGGTTGAGAGTCGAGCAAGTTTGCGTAATAGAGAAAGACGCCGACGACTGGCGTGCACCACTGTTGTCTTACTTGCAAGATACAAACAAGGTTGTTGACCATGCCGTCAAGTTTAGAGCAAGGAGCTACGTAGTTTTGGATGGGACCTTGTATAAACGCAGACCTGATGGGTTATTGTTGAAATGCTTGGGGGGGGGGGGGGCAAGGAGGCATTGCAAGCCATGGCAGAAGTGCATGAAGGAATATGCGTAGCTCACCAAGCTGGTCCTTCCATGCGATGGATTCTACTGGCCCACCATCAGGCTAGATTGTGCCGCATATGCCAAAGGCTGCGAAGCTTGTCAACGTCTCGGTCCCGTCCAAAGAGCGCCGGCGGTGGATCTGAAATAAATAATCAAACCGAGGCCGCTTTATGGGTGGGCCATGGATTTGATTGGTATGATTTACCCTCCATCGTCAAAGAAACATGTTTTCATAATTTTGGCCATTGACTACTTCACTAAGTGGGTGGAGGCCAAACCGTTGAAGGTGGCGAACCAAGAGGAAGTGATTTCATACAAGAACACATTATCCATCGATTTGGTTTGCCAGCAACAATAACGGTGGACCAAGGAACTATGTTCACTGGGGGGCAGGTTATGGATTTCGCGGCAGAGTGGGGGATAAAAATTATACATTCCACGCCGTATTACGCACAAGCTAACGGGCAAGTGGAAGCATCCAACTAGGTCGTGTAAAATATTTTGACAAAGATGATTGAGGATAATCCGCGACGTTGGCATGAAATTTTGTCAGAAGCATTGTGGAATACAGGATGTCCCCGCGGAGTAGTACGAGAATGAGTCCATTCTCACTAACATACGGTCATGAAGCATTCCTTCCCGTGGAGGTGACCGTCAACTCACGCCGGTATATGAAGTAGCACGAGTTGACAAAACCTGAGGAGTATCATGAATCAATGATGCTTGAGCTCTGCGATCTTGATGAACTTCAACTTCGTGCTCTCGATAACGTTCAAGTACAGAAAGCAAGAGTGGCAAGAGCTTATAACAAGAAGGTTCGGCACAAGTCATTCGAGGAGGGCGAACTGGTTTGGAAAGCTCACTTGCCGATTGGGGAAAAAGATCCCAAGTTTGGAAAATGGTTGCCAAATTGGCGTGGACCATTTGTGGTACATTCTGTGCGTCCCAATGGAGCATACCTGTTGAAAGACGTAGATGAAGTGATGCATGAGCGTTTGATAAATGGCAAATATTTAAAGCCATATGTGCCGTCCCTATGGGACGCAGCTGGTCATTAATCTAACCAATGACGAACAACCATGTGCTAAAAGTGGCCTGGTCGGCCACCAAGCTTACACAACGTGGTTGAATAGTATGAGATTGACAAAGTATGCAACAAATACACTAATTTGCCAGCTTCGTTACCAATAAATAAATTTTTTAATGCCTTTAAAGCCAGCGGCAGGGTTTACTCGAGTCCAGCCGGTGCGGTATCGCTGTTCGGTACCAAAATAAAAATAATTTTTTTTTGCATGCAGCGCTGTCGCTGATGCAAACAGCCCTGAATAAAAAAAAAAAGAGGGGCGGCCATACAGCCCTGAATAAAACAAAAAAGAAAAAAAAAAGAAAGACTCTCAGCGCTGCGGCTGTGGCTAACAGCCATAAAAAAGGGGCAGAGGGGTGGCGGCCAAACAGCCCTGAGATAAAAAAAAATTCTAATTAATGGCTAAGGCGGCCGTCAGGTCTGATATAAAAAAAGGGGGGAGAGAGTCAGCACTGCAGCTGGTGCGGAAAATAGCTCTGATATAAAAAAATTATTTAATAATAATAATACATGCAGCGGTGAATTGAACAAAAAAAAAAAGAAGTCTCTCAGCGTTGCGGCTGTTGATAACAGCCCTGATGAAAAGAAGAAAAAAAGGAGAGAGGTGGCGGCCAAACTGCCTTGATTATAAAAAAAATTCAAAAATAAAAAATCAAAACCAGGGCTGCTTGGACGCGGAACAGGGCTGCACAATCGGCCGCATTTAGTAAATAAAAAAATTTATTATTATTATTATTATTAATTAATGCTTGCAGCGCTGGCAGAGGAAGAAAAAAAAAGTCGGCCGCGTTGTTGCAATCAGCCGCAATGCTGGTGGCCAAATCATTTGGCCATGCATGAGGGTTATATAATTGGTAATTAACGATTTCATTGCTAACTTTGGCCTACTTGTTTATTTTGTTTAAACACTCTGAGCCAAGTATTTTAGGTGTTGTACAAGTTCGTCAACAATTTTGTTCATAATTCTTATAAACCAAATTGTGGTGGGCATTTGTTGACACCTAAAATTAATTTGGGCCGAAATTAAATGCCACATTTATTAGTCTCGGCATTTAATTCGATACCGCTGGGAAAAAACGGTATCGTTTGGAGTCAAGCGGCGTCGCGGAGAGTCAGTACGATACCGCGATACAGAAAACGGTACCGCAAGGAAACTCAGCAGTACCGCGGCATGGGAAACGACACCGCTCACCGAAAAACAAAAGGGGCCGCGCGTTTAGTGTGGGTTATGGAGAAGGAGTTTTCTAATTATTTTTATTCTTTTTGGAAGGGGAAAAGCGGCACCGCGGAGAGTTAAAACGGTACCGTGGATCTGAAAACGATGCTGCGAGAGCCTTGACAAGCGGTACCGATTAATTAAAAACCACATCGGATAAGTGATTGGCCCAAAAATCCGCCCAACCCAAACGTGCAAAATCTTGGCAATTTAACGTTGGTATTTCTTTTTATTATGTTAGGCGGTGTGGTTTAATTCAAAACGGCACCGCGAGTATGCCAACGGTGCCGCTGTACTAGCAAACGACAGTGTTGAAAATAAACGGTGTCGCGGAGGAAAAAACAAACGGAGCTGATTGGGGAAGAAAACGACACCGCAAGGCTGGAAGCAGAGTCGTTTAATATTAAAACGATGTCGCGGGTATAATCAAGCGGTGTTGTTTAGCTAAAAACGACACCGTTTAAGGCATCAACAACGCCGCAGTATTACTAAGCGAAGTCGTTTAGTTAGAAACCATACCACGATGGTTTGGATTTTGGCGAGTGGCCCGACAAGCTCAACGACACCGCAAGACAAGAAAAACGGTACCGTTTGGTAGAGAACAATGTCGCGGAATGAAAAACGACATTGTTTGATGGGACCGGGACGGAGCAGTTCAAGGTCGGCATCGATTAGTGAAAAGCGATGCCGCAGGAAAGATTAAACGACGCCGCAGGAGGTATCAACGACATCGCGGTATCATAAACGATATTGTTTGATTAAAAACGATATCGCAGTGGTTAAGAGCTCGGCCAAAGGTGGCCCGCTAAGCCTATTTGATAGACTAACAATGTCGTTGGTTAAACCGAGTCAGGGCAGTTGAGTTGGATTATAAAACGGCATCGGTTAGTGAAAGGCGATGTCGTGGTATTGCTGAAACGACATCGTTACATGGACGACAAGGTTGTAGGATTTGGCTCAACGTCGTTTCGCCAAGTCTCTGCAAAGCGGAACGGTTTCGAAGGCTCGTGATTATCACGCGACAAGGAGGAAGGTACCTGCACGGTTGACATGAATGAAGACGTGGGAGACAAAGGCGCGAAGGCAGTTACTACGACTGCGGGGACAAGGGCGAAGTATAAAGATCGGAAAGAGAGAGAAGCTCGAGACGGAAAAATTAAATCACAAACTGCACCGTCGCAGAATTACCTTTTTCTCTCTAGTTTGTAGAACTTCTCTGTCAAAGACCTCCTTTGCAGAGTCGTAGTAGTTGTAGTCGTAGTCGCGGAGCTCTCCAGAGGAACCTCCATAGGAGTAGAGGTAACGTAACTTAGAACACTCCTGGTTCGATTTTCTGGTTATTCGCCGAACACCCTCGTTCGAACGTAGTTTGGAGAGGTGGTAAACCGAATAACGGTTGTTTGATTAGAAGTCAAAGGTGTATCGATCAAATCAACATTGCCGACGCCTGCGGTGGATATTTGACGGTCGTCTTGGTTTCTGTTTTAATCGATCAAATCAACGGCGCCGACATTCGGCGGCGGATATTTGACGGTTGTGTTGACTTTGTGTTTTCGTTTCCTTGAATACAGAGCGCATTGAACGCGGGAGTTTCGCCAACGAAACAGCTACAATGTTGATCAGGAGCTCGCATTCAGCGACGACAACAGCCTTCCCGACACTATGGATCATGCTCGTTGCATTCCTCCTCGTTGCACCCTCGATGTCCCGGATTCTCAATGAGGACCCCGACGCCTACTATATGACTCCGATCAGCGACCATGATCTGAAGAGTCGCCCACAACTTATGAAAATGGCCGAGTATGCTGTGGCGGAGAACAATAAGAAAGCCCCTAAATCATATTAAAGTTGGTGAGCCTCGACACAGGGTATTATCGTATGAATGTTGGTGGGGACTTTATAACATTTGATTTACACATTACCGTCTCCTCCACTCACCTCGGCCAAACCAAATACAAGGCGGTGATCTTCGCCGGAGTCGAAGTTGCGGAACCCGATCATCAATATGATCTTGCATCCTTTATGCGGTTATAAATTAAATTAACCGAACTATATACATGGTGTTTGTCATAATAATTACCCATAACGAACTATTGCAATAACAATTTGAGTTAGTATTGTATGTTGAGAGTTCATACTTCATAATGTTCTTCTCACACTACAAGTCAATTAAAATATACAGTGCGGTTACTGGTTTGGATACTTGATTTGATGATAATTAAGCTTGATCATGACTTCTCCGTACATTATGATTAGCGAATAGCGATGTAACAAGCACAACATATTCTAAATGAACCAGTCAACCAGAGACGGGTGGTGACGATAAGCCACAAAGTCGCCATACTGCGACCCGGGCCTGACTAAGACGGAAGAGGTACGATTTGGGTCGAAACTCAGGGTCGGCCCATAATATTTAGAGGCTCTGTTCGAAAATTAAAAATATGGCCCTAAATATTTTTCCCTTAAATTTATTAAAAATAAAAATTATTAAATAATAATAAAAAATAAATAAGTTAAAAAATTATTATTATTTTTCTTAACATATTTTATATTTAACATAAATATATAATATATATCATGAATTGTATTGCTCTTAACTAATTTATATTGTATTTTTTAACTTATGTAATGTCAGGGAACATGTAATTGTTAATATGTTGGTTGAAGTTATAAAGAGAAATTATTATCCATGGATAACTGTGGATACCCGAAACCTGATGGAGTATGGGTATCTTTTGGATATTCTACCCGATTATCGTATACATTGTCATTCGTAAATTTGTTATATTGTTCTAGTATCATATATGTTTTTACTTGTAATTCGAGCGACTATAATATACCACGTTTTTCAAATACATATGAAACATGGTATCAATTGAATACCGAATTTGTACCTTCAAAAAATTTGGATATGTTATTTAGATTTACAAATTTTGAGAAACATTGTTACACTTTCTATACCAAAACTTATAAACATGTTAGTAAATATCAATGTTCAAGTCTACCGACGTTAAAAATTAAATAATTAATTAATACTTTATTCTTATTTAGGTGACTAAATTATAATTTTGAACTCATAAAGGAATTTACCCGTCTAAAATTAATATACGGAGGAATAGGGAAGCCCAAGCCGCATATAGGCTATAGCAAATGGACTAGTATATATAAATTTTTATGGGCTGATCTGATGAGGTCCCAAAATGCTTGAGGTCCTGTGCTGTGGGTCTGACCAGCACAGGGCTTGGGCCCGGCCTGTCGAAACTTATAGTGGGCCGGGCCTCACTCAGACAAGTGTTGGACATAAGCTTACTGTTACAGGCCTTAGTGAGCTGAGCTGGGTTTGTCTCTCTTCCGGGTGATTGAGACTGTTACAAAAATCAGTCATTGGTGCGTAAACGATGCTATCGCCGGCGATGTAAAACTGGTCGTGGAAGCACAAAAAAGTTGTGACCTTTGGAATGGAAGAATCAATAATAATTCTCGTAGCGTCATATCAACATTTATTTTGTTTATATAACACGATTGTATCTTTGACCATATTTTTATTCTTCCACCCCCAACTAGTAAGAGCGATTAGATGTAAAACCGGACCGTGTTATATAAAAAGAGCCGCGAGACTTGGAGCCGCGATTAGATGTGAATCAATAATAATATTTGATTTCCTATCAAATATTAAGCAACCAAAAGCGACGGATCCGTGTACCTACCGTTTGAAGGGTTACATATGTTAGTGGCAATTTAACCTGTAGGGCGAAACTATTTCCTCCCTTCTGCAAAATGAAACAACAAAGACCAAGATCATGAATTCTGAAAGGAGTCTATCACGCCTCAAATCAAACCTCCTTCCTGTGGTCTTACTGTTTCCTCGGGCGATGAGTAGAGAGATATGTGAACAACTTCTTATGCAACATAATTGATACAATGAGCAAAACCATAATAGCTTAATTTAATAAAAGCTATACCTGAGCATACGGGAAAACATAGCAACCATGAAAGAACAACTTGCAATACACGTAGAAAGATCTCGAGCAAAAGTCCATAGATAAAACATAAGGTTTTCGCAGTTGTAAAAATCAAAGAAGTAATGGATGCTCATCTACTTATGTGAAAACCAATTACGTGAGGATTAACATTAGTGTAAGTTCAATAAATTTGTTGATAGTAGTGAATGAAGGATTTTAAAACTCAGAGATAGGAAATCAGTTAAAGAAAAAGCACAATATCGGTCATGTCTCAAACTCAAGATTATATATAACCAATCGAATCTGAAGGCGACCGGGTAAAAAAGACTTCCTCTTTATCTTGGATTTGAAATTGAAAAGCAGAGCATATAATACAATTCATGTATGTGATGGCAATACTGTATAGCAGCTCTCCCCCAATTAAAGATAAATTGTAGTTATGCTAGTAGAGCAATGTAATTCAAGGAGTAATCGAGAAGTAGAGATAAGATCATACTTAACCATTTTGACTGTTTGAGAAAATTCCAAATGTAAAAACGTTCATTCATTATGTGTTATGTAGCTAGATAAAGCAGCACCAGAAGATGGAGAAGAGGAAGAGTTTGCTACCTTTTTATGGTTTCTTTAGATACATATGAGCTAAAATACCCCTCATACTGCAATCGATCAATCCCACCATGCTGCACCTTTTCCCCAACAACGAATCATTCATACACTTATCTAAGTATCTTTGATAAAAAACTTAAGTTGCATTGCTCATATCCGATCTCGTAGAATAGATCCATATTTTCGTAACTAAAACCAACGGTAGAGCATTAGTATTAAACCCAACTTAAGCTCCATTAAAGGTCAAAGTAGATAAATGAATCCCACTAAATGCTACCAAGTTGGTGATCAGTTCCCCAACAGACGATAATGTTACAGCGGTAGAACATTTACAAAAAGCACCCACTTAAGGGTAGTGTCAAGAAGCACTTTAAAGGTCAAAGCAGATAAATGAATCCCACTTAATGCTACCAAGTTAGTGATCAGTTACCCATTGGTGCTACTCAATGGGGTTTATATCCCTAACCACAATAGGAAATTGCTATATGTCGAAAATATTCAAGACTCAAAAACTAAAATTAAAAAATAACAGACAAACCAAATCCCATGAACATCATGTGGATAACAGTAAACACACTTAACTAAATTAGACAGTCAAATCATTCTCAACTACTCTAATGAGAAGCAAAAGGTTCCATAGTATTACCCACTTGTATGCCCTCTAGTTTGTGGGAAGATGAAAACGCTTACCCACATAACCAACTTATTATAGTTGCAAAAGACATAGTTACATATACGATCAGATTTTGAGATTATAGCATTCATAGATAGGATTGATCATCTAGAAGGATTATACAAATTGACTGTTTTCCTGGAGTAGAGTAGTTGGCCTGATTAGCCGGGTTGGGGGTTAAATCCTTCAAGTCTTGAATTGAAAGTGGCCCTATAATCTGTCATTTTCTCTCTTCAAGCAATCAGGGAGCATTAGTAGCAATCCAGTGTATAGATATAATAAAAATTAATCTATGAAAACTATTCTGGATATTGGCAAAGCAAATTGCAAAGTACATAGAAGTAGAACCTTTCTCAGATACAGTTGACTTCATTCAAATCCAGGTTGTCATGAGAGATGGTGGTACTGGCTGATGAAAATCTCCAGTTCCCCTGCACCAACAATAATAGAGTAGGAGGTAATTTAAATCAAACCAACTCATATTATTGTCACACATACCACTATGATTGATCATGGACAATGGATGTTAAAATAGCACTAACCGGTCTATAAAAGGATGGAGGCCACGACAATGGATGTTAAATTACATCTTTGTAGCAGGGGAACCAGAGAGCATTACAATAAAATCAAGCTAATAGTGCAAACATACACTTTGTATATGTTAAATGAAAAGCTGTAATCAGCTATACAATTGAAAACTATACTGTAAAATTAATTTATGCATTGCCAGCAAAAAACATTTTGCTAACAGACCTATTACTAATCCTCCCCACTCCTACAAAAGCAACAGAAACAAAAGAAAGCTTTGTTTTTGTGAGAAAAGACAGTCATGGACATAGAATAACTTTGAAGTTCTCTTTAACGGATCCTTGCTAATATGTGAACTACCAGATCCTCAAGTATGTGAATTACCATATACTCAAGCATATTGTTTATTTTATGATAAAACATAATAACCTAGATAAGCATGAAATCCACAATCCATAAAAAATCATCATTCTTGCTATCCAATCCAATATAAGTAAGAGATCAATTTATGACCTCTTGAACTGGTGTGGGTCAGTGTATAGGAATCCCCTACCCAAAGGATCCGCTTTACTAAAAAATTAAAGAGACAAATGAGGGAAAGAAGCCGCAACCACCTGCAATCTGAATGTTTGAAGTTATTTTACTCTAATGGTGACATTAGAAAATACATTTAGCCACTCTGATTGTTACCATGGGTTATTGAGAAATGAAACACTTAGTTCACATAGTTACCTCAACACCATGGAGAATGGCTCACTCCGAAATGAATCCTGGTAACTGTAAATGAAACACATAGCTCATGTTATTCAGAAACTCAATTGCATAAGATTTGACATACACGATGAAGCATTAAAATATGAATAATTGTACCGTTAGAACCATGGCAGAAGCTGATGGATGGTTGGGGCGGTGTCGTACAACATTTCGCAGTTGATAGCGACTAAATTGGATATCCACTTCACCAATGTAAGTTGCAGTTTGAGGGGACGGGTTAGCATGCTAACCCTTTAAGGGTTGGTTTTTTTACACTCATTTTAATTGGTCAATTTTTCATTAATTATTAACAAGTATTAATGAAAGTAAACATAATAAATGTTCTGTTATTAAATACAAAGTAAGCATTAAATACACCACATTAATTACTTGTTTTAAAAAAAAATCTAAACATATACAAAATACAATTCCCTCTCTCATCTTTGATCTTTCTCACTCCTATCTCTGATTCTTCCTTTCCGGGCAGCCTCCGACCATCAAGTTTCCTCCGA